TTCCTGTATGTATGACGCTTTTCTCGTTTCTCCACTTGCCTTTGGATTCTCCTGTTTGATATTGTTCTCGGACTGGCTACTGTTCTGGTTTTGACCTTCACTTTTATTTGACCTTCTCTTTTCGATTAGCGCCCATGTTCGTATGTTTGCTCTTCGCTGTTCTGACCTGGTTTAGCTTTGACCCTCCTTTTGTTCATCTGCTCATTGTTAATAAATACTCTTTGAACTTTTATGTCTGTGAGCGTCTGGTTAGTCGGACATTCGTCACGTATCCAAAACAGTGTTTTCACACCTGCGAACGAACATGAACCATGATTTGGTTTGATCCAGACCGAGACCACCTCTTACGTCAAACCAAATTTTGGTCCTTTGGTCCAGATCAAGATACCTTTCACACCTGCTGTTTTAGTTTGGACCAAACTGAAAAGTCTGAAGGTCCAGACCAAACACGGTAGGTGTGAAAGAACCCTAAAACTAGGAACATAATATTCAAAAAATGTCTTAAACAGGTGCTGCAATAATACTTGGATATAAACGGGGCATCCAGGAAAGGCTGTGAGTGTGACAGTGAGGATGTCCACAAAAATGTGCTTGTGAATAATCTAAGCATAATGTTCTTCACTGAGCAACTAAAGATTCGGGGTATTTCAGCCTTTACGGTGAAAAAATATCAGCAACAGATTTAGAGAATCTGGAGAAACCTGGCGAAAACCACAGCTGAGTTTCTGTGATACCTCAGACAGCACTGTGCTAACTACATGCTTCTGTGATTAGATCACCATCTGTCAGTCATCCACAAAAGCAGGTTAAGACTGTACTCTGCACAGTGGAAATCAAAGAAACGCCGCCGACTTCTCTGGGCTCGAGCTCATCTGAAATGGACTGAGCCTCAGTGGAAATGTGTATTCTGGTCTGACGAGTCAGGCTTTCAGATTTATGGAAATGATGGCCACACACACACACACACACACACACACACTAATGATGCTCCTCTGTGTGTGTTTAGTTTTAATTATGAATGAAATGTTTATGCACATTAAACTGAACTTGTTTCATTACAAACCAGCTTGACCTAAAAATCATTAAAAAATAACTCAAATAACACAAATAAACAGTTTATACTACACACACCCCTTTCTCTCCCTCTGTCTCTCTCTCTCTGCCTCTCTCTCTCTCTCTGTCTCTCTCTCTCTTTCTCTTTCTGTCTCCCTCTCTATATCTCTCTCTCTCTCTGTATCTCTCTCTCTCTCTGTCTCTCTCTCTCTCTCTGTATCTCTCTCTCTTTGTCTCTCTCTCTCTGTCTGTCTCTCTCTCTCTGTATCTCTCTCTCTCTCTCTCTCTTCTTCAGGAGCCAGAATGTAACTGCTGCACCATTTAAGCCAAATTCACAAACATGTTTGAGGTGACTGTGATGATTTAGACATGGAGTTAGCACCATGCTAACTAGAGCGGTTTCAGCTTCCATAGCTACATTAGCTACATTAGCTTCGTAGCTCCAGCGCTAAAACTAAAGAAGCTTCCGACACCGAACACAGCTTAGCTTACCTAACAGAATATGAACATAATGTTGAAGAAGGAAATAATGTATAAAAGAAAGAGTAAAATAATAAAATGTTCATATGTATCTCTCTCTGTATCTCTCTCTCGCTCTCTCTCTCTCTTTCTCTCTCTGTATTTCTCTCTCTCTCTGTATCTCTCTCTCTCTTTCTCTCCCTCTCTCTCTCTGTATCTCTCTCCCTCTCTGTCTCTCTCTCTGTGAGTGTAAAGCGTTTAGCACCTGCAGACACTAAAGTGCTAAAGAGAGAATCACAGAGAGGAGGAGGGGGAGGAAGAGGAGGAGGTGAAGAGAGACAATCTAACACTTTCACGTTTCTCCAGGATTGTGGTCGTCTTGGTCTCCATGGTAACCTGAGCAAGTCTAGCCCGGTTTCCTAAAGAGAGATCTCTCTGTGAAAGCCATGGTAAACAGGCCATGTTAGGTATGATATTCTGGATTAAAGCGAACGTTCAGAGAAAAATCTGACTCACACAGTTCACACCAAACAGTCGATCAGTTAAGCTTCACCAGTTCCAGCTGTCTTAGCACTGCTAGCTCGCTAAGACAACACTGTAGCCATTACCAGCCTGCAGAGTTCAGCCCCACCCCTAATCTAACACACCTGATCCATGTAATGATGGTCTTCAGGGGCGTCTGAATACTGGAGCCAGGTGTGCTGGATCTGACCTGTCCAGGGTGGGAGACCTCCAGGACCAGGATTGATCTAAGAAACATGCTAACTTTACTGGCCAGATAAGTTTTGTCTATAAACTGAGTGCAGTTCTCTGAAGCTCTTTATCTAGAATGCATGAACAGTTTAATTCAGCTGGTTTCAGTCCAATACATTTCTTTTAGTTCAGTTCAGTTCAGATTAATTTGTAGTTGTTGATTTTGTATAAAATAAAATAATGAAAGTAAAAACTGACATAAAGATGAAATTATGGAGACGATCTGGAGACACACACCAAATAAACACACACTCCCTCTGTGTGTGTGTGGTGGTGTGTGTGAGTCAGTGACGCAGGAGTACAGGAGATGAGGGGTAATTTACTGGAGCTGGTCATTTGGGGGAGTTAAGCTACAACACACACACACACACACACACACATATATATCAATATATATACCAATCAGGTATATATTCCTTGTTTCTACGCTCATTGTCCATTTTATCAGCTCCACTTACTATATAGGGACACTTTGTAGTTCTACAGTTACAGACTGTAGTCCATCTGTTTCTCTGCATACTTTGTTAGCCCCCTTTTACCCTGTTCTTCTGTAGTCAGGACCCCCATGGACCCTCACAGAGCAGGTACTATTTGGGTGGTGGATCATTCTCAGCACTGCAGTAACACTGACGTGGTGGTGATGTGTTAGTGTGTGTTATAAAAATATCCAGCCAACAGCGTCCTGTGGGCAGCGTCCTGTGACCACTGATGAAGGACTAGAGGATGACCAACACACACTGTGCAGCAGCAGATGAGCTATCGTCTCTGACTTTACATCTACAAGGTGGACTGACAAGGTAGGAGCGTCTTATAGAGTGGACAGCAAGTGGACACAGTGTTTAAAAACACGCACCAGCACAACACACACTAACACACCACCACCATGTCAGTGTTACTGTAGTGCTGACCACTGAAGAACAGGGTAAAAGGGGGCTAACAAAGTATGCAGAGAAATAGATGAACTACAGTAATTGTAGAACTACAAAGTGCACCTATAGTAAGTGGAGCTGATAAAATGGACAATGAGTGTAGAAACAAGGAGGTGGTCATAATGTTATGCCTGATTGGTGTATATATTGTAAAGATATATACACACAACAATGAGCAATACAGCAACAACTATAACCCCCAACCTAGCTAATCCAAGCTAAGACAGAATGTGCCAAACCAACCAATCCAAGCTAAGCCAAACTGAGCCAAACCAAACCAAATCAAGCCAAATCTAGCCAAACTGAGCCAAACTGAACTGAGCCAAACCAAACTGAACTGAGGTGAATTGAACTGTACTGAACTAAACCAACTACAATTATTATTAAAGTTACTACAGTTGTTACTGTAAAAACAACTCAGTAATAACCGTTTTAGTGTGTCTGAATTCAGTGTGTGTGTGTGTGTGTGTGTGTGTGTGTGTGTGTGCAGCTTATAGAGCAGAGAAAGCAGAACACACTGATCATCAATGTAGAACAGGATTCATACAGAGAGAGAAAGTAGGCCTACCTCGTTCAAATGGTGATGACGGTGACGGTGATGATTATGATGATTATGGCGATGATGGTGATGATAATGAAGATAATAATGAAGAAAACAATGATAATAGTAAATAAGATGGTTAAGATGATGATGATGGTGATGATGATAATAAAGATGATGATGATGAAGATAATGCTGATGGTGATGATGATGATGATGATCTCCGCAGTGTGTGCATCTGTGTATAAAGACATAGCGCGTCAGTGCTCAGCTGGATGTAGAGGCACTCTGATTATGCGTCAGTGGACGGGTGCATGTGGTCTTGACCACTACAGTGGGCTGATCAGATACTGAGGTGGGAGTTCAAAGCACATGAGCAGAGCAGCAGCTGTGTGAGTGTTTGATCACACTGCATCTGTGAGGTCAGATCTGTCTGACTGAACTTCTGCTCTCCAGAGTGTTAAAGCTCCAGTGACAATCTTAGTTCATCATAATCTCACATTTCTGTAACAATAATTCAGCAGTTAAGATGTAAACAGCATGGTTCAGAGTGGTTCTCCATTCTAGAGAAACTTACAGAGTCAGAACTGTTCACAGTGGTGGTGATAGGAACCAGATGTCCACCTCTAAAAGCTCCCTCACAGAACTGAGACACTGTTTATGATAGTTTAGAGAACCTAAACTCCATTCATGGTGGGAGGATACATGCAGGGCGCTGTGAGGCAAAATAGTCCCCAAAGAAAACTTATTATTTCATATTTTCCACTATTTTCCATCATCAACATTCCATATAAACTCAGAAGACTCATGCAGGTGGTTTTCACTGGTGGTTTTGGATAATGAATAAAATGTCTATATTTGTGTTGTAGTCATGGCGACCTCTGGTTCCTATCACCACCACTGTGAAGACATCTGAACCATTTCACACCAAACCACTCTGAACCACTCTGTTTACATCTCACACACTGAATTATGGGGGAATTCTGAAATTTGAAATTCACCTTTAAATATATTTTATAATTTTATAATTATCTACAGGGTTATGCTTAAATGCTTGAAATTTGTTTTTGAAGAATCTAAAATAGAAGATAATACCAGTTATTGAGTTATCCAGTTATCCAATGTAATATATTTTTAAATCCTTGTGTGTTATTTCATAGTTTTGATGTGTATTATTATAAAATGTGATCCAAAATAAAAAATAAATGGGATCATATAAATTTCAGACTGTAAAACTTTTGTTCACTCCTCCAGCCATCCCTCACCTGCCAACCAGCAGGAACTCTCCGACCAGGTTCTGCCTCCTCATGGCCATCAGTATTCCACGGACGGTCATCCCCTCGCAGAAACAGGCCACCACGCGAGCTTTGGGCAGGTGGCTCCTCAGCTTCAGCAGCAAACGGTCGAAGTTCTGCTCTCCAGCGTTACTCCAGATCTTATCAGAGTGAGCGATGCAGATCCCCTCTTTAGCTGCCATCTCTTTAAATGCTGCCATCCCACTCTCACCATAGTTACCTAGGAGACCAAGAAAGAGAGCGAGAAAGAGAGAGAGAGAGTGAGAAAAAGAATGATTATTCTATTAAATTTGTTATTTTTTTTTAGGTGTTATGATGTGCAGCACAGATGAATATAGGAGTATAAGAACTTCATGGTTGTGTTATTTTTACAGAGAGAATAAAACAAAATAAATCCTTCAACCCCCACAAAAAAATGCACCACCCTACTATCAACTGCTACCTTCCTAAATTGTACTTTATATTATTTATCATATAGAATATCTATTAGACGTCCTCTGTTAGATGTCCTCTGTTGCTGATCTTATCTGTGTTGCGCTCCAGGGCTCCATTCCTGGCCCATTTTCAATGTCACTTCATTCACTGCTCCTTGACTTTTCCTCAAAACCTGGACATAATTTTTAATGTTCATGTTAATAAGTTAAATGTTTTATTGCATATCAAGAAATGTGTTCGGTCCTGTTTTTTCTAGTTAAGAAATATTGCTAAAATTAAACATGATTTGTCCATTAGCCCTCTGTGGTCTGAGGTCACTTTCTGGATTCATTCATATCTTCAAATCATTCATTCATATCATCAAAATGCTCCGTTATCTTCATCACTACTTTCCAAAACTGCTGCAGCAACTTCAGCAGCTGTAAACTCTCTGCATGCCATTTCTCATGTGTCTCAGATGTGGACTGAATGAAGAAGGGTTTCCGGCGTGATGGGCAGTCCTTAGTGATTTCCTGAGTGTCCATTGGTCAGTTTCACACAGAATGTAGACGGACACACAAATCCACCAGTTCCACACGGTGAGAGGCAGATGACGTGTATCTCAGCCCCTCTTCGTAGGCTCATAACTCCGGATGTGAGTCTCATGATAAGATGGAATGGGCGACTCTCTGAATCTGTTAATACCACCACCACCACGTCTCTGAATCTGTTCTGAATCTTAACCTGCCACACTCTTAAAAGTGATTTTTCAGGTTGATGGAGAATGTGTTGCATATGGTTCTAGAAAGAAAACTTTTGAAAAATGTTCTATATAGCACCCAAAAAGGTTCCACTCTTGTGACAAGCTTGACATCGTAACTATAGATTAATTATTTTTGGTACTATATAGAACCATATACAGCACATTCTCCATCAATCTGCAGAACCCTTTCTCCCTGACAGAGAACCATTTAAGCAGGCAGATGGTTCTTGAGTGCTCATGGTTCTGTACAGAACCATTGTCTTTACTGAAACCCATGAAGAACCATGTTTTTAAGGAAATACCCGTTAAATCAGGTCGACCGCTTTAACGGCTGTTACCAAAGCATTGTAGTCTGCCTGTCTGTCTCCATGGAAACCACAAACTTAAAAACGTTTCAGGATGTTTGAGTCGATGCTGATGCTGAACTCATGAATGAACGCTGGAGACGGACTGATGTGCACTGAATGCAGATTAACGTTAATGTACAGTAACAGATGATTTTGATCCAAGTTAGCTTCAGAGTAAGTGGAATAACTCTGCGGAGTGAGTGGAGGTGAAAGCAGGTCATTCATTTCCATTTAACACACACAGAAACACACACACACACACACACACACACACACACACAGCTGTTAGAGTGTTAGATGTTCTAAAGGCTTTGATGTCACTGACTGGATGATCAAACAGTTGCTCAGTGAGATCAGAACGAGCCGAGAGCAGCGCTGTGAATCTCTCAGCTGAACAATTCATCAATGTTTCTTTAGGAAACAATTCAGCATCTCATAAACTATCAAACATCAGCACGATTTGATTCATCAGTGATTCTTTAGGAAACAATTCAGCGTCTCACTAACTATCAAACATCAGCACGATTTGATTCATCAGTGATTCTTTAGGAAACGATTCAGCGTCTCACAAACTATCAAACATCAGCACGATTTGATTCATCAGTGATTCTTTAGGAAACGATTCAGCATCTCATAAACGATCAAACATCAGCACGATTTGATTCATCAGTGATTCTTTAGGAAACGATTCAGCATCTCATAAACAATCAAACATCAGCACGATTTGATTCATCAATGTTTCTTTAGGAAACAATTCAGTGTCTCACTAACTATCAAACATCAGCACGATTTGATTCATCAGTGATTCTTTGGGAAACGACTCAGCGTCTCACAAACTATCAAACATCAGCACAAATCGATTATTCAACGACTCTTTAGGAAACGATTCAATGTGTTGTAAAATCATTTGGTAAGATTCATAAATCCTTTTAATACACACTAGATCAATATAGATTATAAAAACAATAAAACAAATAAATTTGGAGAGATTTTTATATTTATATATTCATATTTAGATATTAAAAAGGCTTTTGTTGTGGCCAGATTCCATAACTGTGTCTGTGCTGATCTAGAAGCCTCTCTGATTATCACAGCTCACACTGTAAACCCTCAATGAGCTGAATTATTATTTTAACAGATATTAGATCATCAGAGGAAAAATGATCAATAATGAAGTCTAATATCTCTTTCTCTGTGTGTGTGTGTGTGTGTGTGTGTGTGTGTGTGTGTGAGAGAGAGAGAGAGAGAGAGAGAGAGAGAGAGAGAGAGATTGTGGTGCTGGTTGTCATGGAGACGTGTAAAGTCTTGTAATTAGTCTCACAGTGGGAACATCAGATCTCACACACACACTCTCCCTCTGTGATATGTGTGTGTGTGTGTGTAAGGAGATCACACCACTGTGAAGTTACTGTATTTTGATTGTACTGAATTTTGATTGCAGCTTCTCCAAATGTTTAAATATCTGAATAATTCAATAACTGGATATCTAGATAACTCGATAACTGGATATCTGGATAACTCAATAACTGGGTATCTGGATAACCCGATAACTGGATATCTGGATAACTCAATAACTGGGTATCTGGATAACTCGATAACTGGGTATCTGGATAACTTGATAACTGGATATCTGAATAACTCAATAACTGGGTATCTGGATAACTCGATAACTACGTATCTGGATAACTCAATAACTGGATATCTGGATAACTCAATAACTGGGTATCTTGATAACTGTATAACTGGATATCTGAATAACTCAATAACTAGATATCTGGATAACTCAATAACTGGGTATCTGGATAACTGTATAACTGGATATGTGGATAACTCAATAACTGGATATTTGGATAACTCAATAACTGGATATTTGGATAATTCAATAACTAGATATCTGGATAACTCAATAACTGGGTATCTGGATAACTCAATAACTAGATATTTGGATAACTCAATAACTGGGTATCTTGATAACTGTATAACTGGATATCTGGATAATTCACTAACTAGATATCTGGATAACTCAATAACTGGATAATTGGATAACTCAATAACTGGATATCTGGATAACTCGATAACTGGATATCTGGATAACTCGATAACTGATATGAATTATTTCTGACTGAAACTGATGGAGATCGTAAGTTTCTCTTTAGCGTCTGTGAGCAGAGAAGATATTTTATTATGACCTGAACTTGATTAAGTTACCGTTGTGTGTTCAGTCTTTCTGTCAAAAGTAAAGGCACCCTTTTATTGTCATTGGTTCTCATTAACAGTGGGAGTAAAGGGTCTGTGACAATCACATGTAACTCAGTGACTAGAGAATAACTGTAAATGTACAAAAGAAAGTAAAAAGCTGAAACATTAAAATCTTGTCTTTGTACTGTATTTAACTGAATTCAGGTCAAATAGAATTTGATGATTCTTCTATTTACATTTTTCCAATTGCTCCATAGAAAGAGACAGACAGAGAGAGAGAGAGAGAGAAAGAGAGAGAGATACAGAGAGAGAGAGAGAGATATAGAGAGGGAGACAGAGAGAGAGAGAGAGAGAGAGAGAGAGAGAGAATTAGCCCCACTGGCTACAGTATTGCATCAATATTACATCACCCCCAGATTTGATTTCTTCTCTCTCTCCATCTCTCTCTTTCTCTCTCTCTCTCTCTTTCTCTCTCTCTCTCTCTCTCGTTCCTGAAGACTCCATCGTTCTCTTACCCAGAGTTCCAGTCCATGGACAGTCGGCATGGAAACGGCAGAATATTCAGTTCACACACAGCGGCGTGTCAGAGTGAGACGGTGATGATTCTCTCAGAGTCTCTACAGCCTTTAACACCTTCTCTACACTTCTCTCCCTCTCTCCTTCTCTCTCTCTCTCTCTCTCTCTCTCTCTCTCTCTCTCTCCCTGAATGCCAGCTAGTGTTAGCTCACACAACTATAACATTACAATATGACATTAATGTGAAAAATTGCATTATATTTTGCTGTTTTTAAACTCTAATAATCTTATTAATATTTGCACTTATAGTTCTGAAGCTGAGAACTTATAGTTCTCAGTCCAGGATTGTTTATGTAGCCACTTATTTCACACCAAAGTGCATTAGAGATATTCAGCTTTGTCCTATATATGTAACATAAATCGGTGACGCCCCCCTTAATATGTTCTGCCCCCCCCCCATTGCGCCACCCTCCTCTAAAATCCCACACTGACCACCAGCGCTCTGTAACGTCTGCCTGACCTCACAACAGTAAACATCAACAACACAATCTCGAAGGTTCAGAAAGAACCTGTGATTAATTAATTATTTCATTGATTATTTGCTGCTGTTAATAAAAATCTTTAACTTTAAGAAAACGCATGAGGAGCTCGTCTCTGTAGGCTTATCATTCCTGTGATGGAGCCTTGGTTCATAAGAGAAAATGTAGTAATGCAAATCTTTTCATTGTATTTAAAGATTCCAGTGACTGAGTTTAACCTCCAGCCTCAGTGAAGCTCATTAATCTGTTCATCTTTTTAAAGACTTTATTAAACAAATATATTCTAAATGCACGGCTGAGGAAGGAGACGCAGCGGTAAGAGCTCAAGTAGCTTTGGGTCAGAAGATATTAAACTCCAGCTACTCTAAATATAAACGTCATTAAGTATAATCAGATTCACACATTCTCATCACTTCCATTAACTTCCTCAGTCTAATCCATC